CCATGCCCCCCAGAGACCCAGGCCCCCAGCCCCTCCTTGAGTGCTGGCCAGGAGACCCAAGCCCCCAGCCACTACTTGAGTGGTGGCCAGGAGACCCAAGCCCCCAGCCACTCCTTCAGCTGCAGCCAGGGCGAGTGGGAAGCTTGGCTTCCTCTGTCACTGGGGTAACCCAAGCCTCCAGCTCCATGGCTGCTGCCACCTTTGTTGTGTTAATTTGCATACTCACCCTGATTGGCTGGTGGGCGTAGTGGAGGGATGGTCAATTTACATGTTTCCCTTTTATTTGCGTGTGTGTGTGTGTGTGTGTGTGTGTGTGTGTGTGTGTGTGTTTAGCATTTCATTCATTTGTAAATTTTTAAGCATAGGGAGTTAAGTTCATTTTTTTCTCCAGAAAGTATCTCAAGTTGTTCAAACTCAAGTTATTGAATGTTTTATAATTTATTGTCTGATAACACTCTTGAGTAGCATTACTGCTTGTCTACAATATGTCAAGTCATAGTATGATAAACAATAAGGAATATAGAATCTGGTTGGGGACAGCTCCTGTGTTGAGTGTCTTCCCCCAGAGAGGGAGGCGACCGGCGATGGGGGAGCAGGGCTGAACAGTGGATAGCGCCAGGCTGCCAGCCAAGGTGGGTGCCAGCAGGGGTCCTCCCCAATGGCCCAGCCTGCCAGTCCCCCCACAGATCAGCCCTGATCACTGGCCAGGCCTAGAGTCCCTACTCTATATATTGGGAACAGTCTCTTAGATGTAAAAATTAAAACTTGGCAAGGCTACTCTAACACTGAAAAAACAGGATGATGCAGCGATGATGTGCATGGACTCTGGCTTAACATTTTGTGGTCAACCCTGATTCTGACACTTATAACTGTGTGACAAAGCCAATTACTTAACTTCTCTCTGCTTCGGTTTTTCCACCCATAAGATGGGGAAAATGATACTACTGCCTCAGAAAGATCATGTTATGTACTACTTTTTATAATCAGGGCGAAAATATGTAGCTGCCCATACAAAGGCAAGATGCCTTTCACCTGTATGAAAAGTATGGTCACTGATGCATGCAGCGTCCCAGATTGTGAAAGGGATGTCTGACTGCAGGTTTAGACCTGATCCCTAGGGCCTAATACAGCAGTCATACATCCCCTGAGGGCACAGGCAGAGCTGAGGGACAGCTCTCTCCCTCCCCCCCATGCACAAATTTCATGCACTGGGACTCTAGTTGTAAATAACACTGCAGTGAACACAGGGGTGAATATATTCTTTCAAATTAGTGTTTTAGATTTCTTCAGAAACTGGAGAGTATCATGTTAAGTGAAATAAACCAGTCAGAGAAAGACAAATACCATATGATCTCACTTATATATGGAATCTTATAAATAAAATAAACTAAAAAGCAAAATAGAAACAAACTCATAGATATAGAGAATACACTGACCGCTGCCAGAGGGTGTGGGACTCTTTCTGGGTGAAAAAGGTGAAGGAATTAAGAAAAAAAACAACACATAGACAACAGTATGGTGATTACCAGAAAGAAAGGGTAGTGGGGGAAATAGGACAGGTTAAAGGAGGGTAAATGGTGATGAAAGGAACTTGACTTAGAGTGGTGAACAGACAATACAATATACAGATGATGTATTATAGAATTGTACCCCTGAAACATGTAATTTTATTAACCAAGGTCACCCCAAACAAATTCAATTTCAAAAATGTAAAAAACAAAGAAAATCCTGCCATTTGTAACAACATAGGTATATATGGAAAGCATGTTTCATATTTGAATAGAAAATTATTCTATTTACTAGAGGCTCGGTGCACGGATTTGTGCCCTGGTGCGGTCCCTTGGTCTGGCCTGTGGGGACCAGTGGACCTCCATGCCGCCACAGTCCGGCCTTACCCGCCAGCTTGTCTGGCTCCAGCCTGCTGTCCAGTAGATCACACACAGCATGAAGTAGTGCGCGAAGCAGCAGGCAGCCAGGGAGGAGCCTGAGCCCGGGCTGGGTGCTGTGCCACTCTCACTCACCCTGGCCCCACTGTGCCTGCTGCCTGCCACCACCACTGCTCGGGTGTGCAGGGGGAGTGTCCACTGGAGAGGCTTGTGTCATAGCAGCTGCCCTTGCCAGCCGTCAGCCCAGTGTCTGGTGCCCATGTGTCAGCTGAGCGGCGCTCCTGCTGTGGGAGCACACTGACCACCAAGGGGAAGCTCCTGCTTTGAGCATCTGCCCCCTGGTGCATGTCATAGCTACCGGCTGGTTGTCTGGTCATCCAGTCACTTAGGCTTTTATATATATAGATATTTAATATTATTTGTTTGGGTCAAAATCTATCACTTACTATTTTTTTTTCTATTTGTAACTTCAAATATACATTATTTTTAAACCTTCTTTAAGATTAAATATATATATTTTATTTTTCCACTTCCCCCCATTCAAGGTTATTAATTCAATATGCCTTAACCATACTTTCAATATTGAGGGAAATACTTAGTTCAGTCTATGATTGTCTAACCACTATGTTGTACACCTAAAACTAATACAAAAATAATATGGAATGTAAACTTTAATTGAAAAATAAAATTAAAAACAGAGTCAGAGAAATAGCTATGTTATTTTGGAAATGATGGTGACAGGTACAATATAGTTAAAAATTTGGTAATTTCTCAGAATAATTAGTGATGAATACCATTAAATTCTTGTTGATTATTGATTGGAATTTTTAGAAAATTTTCTATGATAATAAAAATGAAATAATAAGGATATAAGAAAAAGAAGTATTTAATGCGAAGATTTAGCAACTTTGTTCAAAAATTAAATTTAAGGTACCTAACAGACATACGTTTTCAGTGTTTGTGACTGAAATGGAAACAAATGAACTGCATGGGTGGTTAAGCCTCTGTGACCTCCATGTTTGTGGAATGTGACGACAATTTCTCAGAGGCATTTGAAAACGAGCACTCTCAATGCCACACTTAGAGGTGTGATTGTACTCTCAGTCTCCAAAGTTTCATATTTTGGAGATGTGTGATGTGATAAACTGATTTCAAAATAGCCAAAGTGTGAGAATTACCTTTTCAAACCTTAAGTGACATATTGAAAAGATGTTTGCTTTTTCCACTATTGCTTCACTCTGAGCCTTTAAAGGGCAATCTGTGAAGATCACAGATATTGTTTATTTTGGTCCTGAATTTATGTTTTTAAATTCTCCTTTCATTACGCAGCTATAACGGGGCTCTTTTGTGATAGTCACCTTGCCTCCCCACTAAAGGATGCGCGACTGTCTGGCCTCCAGAAGGTATGTGCCCCTACTCTCCTGTCTCTCTACCAGCCCATCTCATACAGTGGGAGAAAACAAAGGCTAGCTGTGAGGGACAAGTAATATACAACAAAATCAAAGTGGAATATTAGTGTTTTTATTTGAATAATTCAGGGTAAGAAGCAACCATAAAATATGAAATATGTTGACATATTTAAGTGTTCAAATTAGTGTCTGTAGGAAATTAATAAAGTGCATACACACATGCATAATTGGGTTTATAAATCAGAATAATTTAAAGTGAAAGCTATAAACATGAGGAGGAATAATTAGTTTGGGATTTTGTAATCATTATAAGGAGATTTTTTTGACATAATAATATATTAATTTATATTTTGCCCAAGCTTTTAAATAGATACTTAAAAAAAAGTTCATTGCATGTTGCAGGCCATACACAATTCCTTATACACTTATTGAGACTGATTAAAAGCAGCTTGATTTTTACTAAAAATCAGGATGAAGTAGCTTCTGTAAAAATGCTAAACTAAACTTAATTATAAACAGTCAAAATACTTTTTAAAAATTTGAACAAACAGTGTAAAAAAGATCAGCCATACTGATTAAAGAGAATCTGCTTACTGAATTATTTTACAGTGTATAATAATATGAAGTATAAATAATACCTTGGAAATTGTGACTAAAATAATACTTAAGATAATTAACATTTATTGAGAGTTTATGTGTCAGGTGGAGTGCTAAATTTTACATGCAACATATCTTACATTTTATTTCATTTTTTATTAGTAAAGTAGGTTACTTGTCAGTAGGTAAATTTTTAAAGGTCACACACTGTAAGTATCATAGACAGAATGAATGATACTTCCTGTCTCTCTGACTATAGAGCCCATTGGCTGGATTATTAAATTACATTATCCAGATTACTGCAATTGTTTACACAACTAAAGTGACTTTCACTGCCATTAACGACCAAAGGGTCTTTCTGAACGTTTAAATCAACAATGTGATTCCATCAAGGACCTATACCTGAGCATCTTATGGGTTTATATCCTGCCCATTAAATCAATTATTAATTATTTTTTCAATAATTATTTAAAATATTTTACTTGTTTATTTTTATTATTTTTTAGGTTATAGGTAAGTTTAGTGTGTCATGTAACATTTTTCAACATATAACATATTTCTTTAAATTTTTACTTATTTCTTAGAACTCATCAACCATTCAAATTAAAGACATTTTGGTAACCACTTTAATAAATAAATGCAAGTCACTAAATAAATATAATTCAGTGAAGGAAATTAATATATATGCCAACATTACTATTTTCCACCCTTAGGGCACTTGGTCTTTACTATGGGATTTCAAATTTTTCATAAATATTGTGTCTCTTTTTCTACTAAAACATTTAATTTCTATGACAGGCATTCTAATGGTGTCAAAATACTTCTGTGGATTTTGACTTTAAATTAAGGAGGATGGTATTATTCATGCATGTCTATACTCCTCACTAATTATGTTTTTATTGCTCCAACAAATAACAATTGACAAAGGTAGAGAATATATTTTAAAGAGTACTTTACCCTGAGACACTTGTTTAAACCTCTAGGGAATTTAGAACCAGAACTTTAGATTCTTCAACTTAGAAGTGAGCCCAATACTCAACCTCTACCCCGCCCAGTTTTCCTGTAAGGGAGCTCTGCATTACAGGTACCAGTTATTCATACACACACTTAACTTAGAGCACAGTTTCAAACACCACCCAGCTGCAGAGATGAATAACCAAAGAGTAACCTATGCAGAACTGAATTTGGCCAAGTCGGCCAAGAGACAGCAAAGGAAACCTAAGGGCACTCAAAGCTCCATTCCAGTAAGGGAGCAGGAAATAACCTATGCAGAATTAGCTCTTCGAAATGCTTCCCGGGATCTTCAAGGGAGGGACAAGAAGGACCACTCCAAAGGTAACACGTTCAGTATAACTGTTCTAGGATGTGAAGTTGGGGTGCAAAGGTGGGGGAAGAGTAGGAAATTGACTCACATATTTTTCATTTGTGAGAACCAGCGCTTAAAGTTGGAATACAGTATTCTAAGATGAAAGCTGAAGATGGATTCTGTACAGGTATTGCTGTAAGGTGTAGTCTTTGGCCAACAATCATGGAGCATTGTATCTCCTGAAAATGCAATGGTATATTCTGAGAGGAAGATTGCAGTGGTAGGTATGGGTCTAGGATCCAAGTTTATGTATTTGATTCTCTGTATGTAAACTGTCTAAAACAATTATCTCTCTCTCTCCTTTCTCAGTGTTTCATTTTCTCTCCTTGCAGTTTCACCATCACCGCCAGAGAGGCTCATTGCTGGGATCCTAGGGGTCATCTGCCTTGTCCTGATGTCCGCTGTGATAAGGATAACTGTTATTCCCCGTAAGTAAATCTTTGTAAGATTATACAGCACTTTTCACTTTAATGATTACCAGTGCCTCTAAACAATTCATAATATTATGGAATAGAATTTTCATATTAAAGCATGCATTTAGAATAAATGTGGAATGGTTATTCTGAATTTAGCAAATGCATAAATAACATAATGTTTGTACAGAGTATTTTACATATAGTCATATATTTGATTTCATATCTCAAAGACATGCTTTAGGAGAATGAAAGACCTTATAAAGAAATACAAATTCATATTGAGATTGGTTAAACCCATACTGTAAGAGATGGTGAAGTTTGGTTCTTTAGGCTTTTAAAATATTTTCCTCTAATTCTTTATTACTGTATTAATATTTCTTGGCAAAATCAATTTTATTACAGATAATTCTCCTCCGACACAACACAACAAACTTCAAACTAAAAAACAAAAATTATTATGATTTCTTTAGATTAATTGATATTTTAAGAAATACTTTAATTTTTTAATTTTTTTTTAGCTACTGTAATACTGGAGAAGAATAATTATTCCCAAACAACAAGGAACCAGAAAGGTACATAAGAATTTTCAAAGTTCTGATATTAGCAAAGTTTATATATATTTTGTCTCAGGCTAGGCAATAATGATAATAGACTCTTTTGTGAGAACATAAATTATAAAATGAGCAATACATGTTCATAAATAATTATTATAAGAGAGTGTTCCTTCTGCTGCAACATTATGAAAAACATCAATTTTAAATTGCCACATCCATTGTTGCTGTTTGGCTTAAATTTCCTACTGCTATAATATAATAAGAGACAAGTAATTTCACTATTTTAAAAAGTAGTTTCAGTCATCGGCTTTTAGGACATGTACAGAGTGGATATTTTTGTTTATGTGTTTGCTTTCTATGGGCACAGATATTAGGCGATATCTGGCAGACCCTTTCCTGTGACTTTGTTTTGTTTTATCTGTACCAGCCAGTGAGGATGCATAGGTATATTATGTACCTATGTGTTTATACCTATGTAAGTGTGTAAGTTAATTTTCAAAACTTCAAATTGCTATTGCATTATAATTTGTAATCTTTCTTTAGCATATCATTGTGAACTTTGTCCACTGGAGTGGTTTACATATTCCAACAATTGTTATTACATTAGCACTGAAAATAAAACATGGAATGGTAGTTTGTTGGCCTGTGCTTCTAAGAACTCTAATCTGCTTTACATAGATAATGAAGAAGAAATGGTAAGATGTTAAACGTTTCATATACTTTATTAAAGCCTTATTTCAGTCAATAGTATATTTGTAGAATTCACATTTTTATATATAGTTATAAATATTTAAAGTTTGTATAAAATTCCACTGTTTGATTTTATAATCTATACTAATAAGAGGGTAATATGCTAATTAGACCGGATAGACCAAACATCTTCCAGACATCATTCCAGAAGTCCTTCTTGAAAAAGCCTGGGCCCAGACAAAGCTGCCAGGGTCCTGGGTGACTGCGGCCAGCCAGAGGGAGGGAAGCCCAGATCCCAGTTGCCTGCAGCCAGCCAGAAGAGGGAAGCCTGGGTCCCAGGTGCAGGGGCCAAAGGCAGAGGTGGATAGGGACGATCAGGCAGGCAGGCAAGCAGTTAGGGGTGATCAGGCAGGCAGGTGAGTGGTTAAGGAAGATCAGGCAGGCAGGCAAGTGGTTAGGGGCGATCAGGCAGGCAGGTAGGTGAGCGGTTAGGAGCCAGTAGCCCTGGATTGTGAGAGGGATGTCCAACTGCAGGTTTAGGCCCAATCCTGCAGGGGTTGGGCTTAAACTAGCAGTTGGACATCCCCTGAGGGGTCCCAGATTGTGAGAAGGTGCAGTCTGGGCTGAGGGACCTCCCCGCCGCCACTGTGCATGAATTTCATGCACTGAGCCTCTAGTATTCTATATTTTTACTAGAAGCCTGGTGCACGAATTCATGTACCAGTGGGGTCCCTCGGCCTGACCTGCAGAATTGGGCCAAAACTAGCTCTCTGACATCCCCAGGAGGGTCCCAGATTGCAAGAGGGCGCAGGCCAGGGGAGGAATGGCTTCCTTGAGCCACATCCTATTTCTAGGTTGGGTATTGGAAACAATCAGGCCTAAGTCGCTTTCTTCTGTTGGGTGGGATATAAGGTACCCTGTCGCTCTGTGTTCCCAATCCTGGAGTTCCAAACCTTTTACTCTTTCTCTTTCCACCTTCCAGAGCTCTCCTTTACTTGTGTCTTTCATTAGTTAGTTCCAGAATTAATAGTTCTAATTAGTGGGGAAATGAGTCTCTGACACCTGGACCACTGGATTCCACCACCACAGAAACAGGTCAGTTTGGGCTTTATCTGGTTAAACAAGGTTGTGAAACCGGAGACTCTTTTTTTTTTTTCCTTTCATGTCGTTTATTTTCTTAATTATGATCCCTTTTTAGAAAAAACCTGCTATCTGAGAAATAGAAGAATATTACATTGATTTAGTCATGGTAACAAATACTTTAAGTATTTGGAAACTTATTTAAAACTTTGGTATGTTAGTTTTGTCAATTTGGTAACTACTAAATTACATGAATCAGAATTTTCCTTATTAAATTAAGAAGAAGAATGATACAATTAAACATAAATATTTGGGTTAATTTTAAATCAAATGTACAAACATTGCTGAAAGTTTTTGAAAATATGAAAAGTGACTTTAATATATCTTTAATAAAAAGTCTTAATATATCTTTATTGTTAGTTTAAGATCCAACAATCTTATTTTATTCTCAAAATTAAGGATCTTTTGAAAGAATACACTACTTGCCTTATAAAAATAATCTTTCATGATGATTATTTAAATAAAAATTCTTTATTTTGTGGTAGGAATTTCTGAGTTCCATATTACCTCCATCATGGATTGGAGTTTTTCGTAGCAGCAGTGATCATCCTTGGATGTTGATAAATGGTTCAACTTTCAAACTAAAGTAAGTAGTTTTTTAAATGCTATATAAAAGGAAAATTAAAAAAAATAAAAATTGTCAAGAGTATTATTATTTTGTTTAAGTTGAATTATAAACATGAAGAATATTAGTCCAAGTTGATGAAAGGTTGATATAAATATTGAAGAATTTGCTATCTAATTTTCCTAATAACCAACTCTTACAAATATTCCATGAAAAACATCATTACCCATTTTAAAAATGTTCTCTGATTGCAGTTACATGGAAAATGCTATTTATTGTTTCATGGATTGGCCCCACACAATAACAACAAAAAACACATATATCTCCATTACAGAATAGCAAACTTATCATTTGGTGAAGGTGACTGTGCTCTGCTACACCTATATGGCCTCACAACATGGAGTTGTGAAGCTTCAAAAATATATAGCTGTAAGCATACGCTTTAGAGTTTGGATTCTGTTGGGTAACTTTATTTTTCATGAAATCGAAAGAATATTAGGATTGCACATGTCTTCAAATGAATTATATCACTTGTTTGATAATGAAATAATTTTCTATAACAATTATTGGACAATAACATACACACTCAAAAGTGTAGATATTCATTGCTGTTAGTGTCTGATGTGTTTTGATCAATGTTGTATTTGTGGCATTCAACATTTCTAAATGATCTTATGTTGTGTGAGTCACTTCATATGTGTTATCAAGAATAGGCCAAACCACAGAAGCAGAAGGTAGGTTAGTGGTTGCCAAAGGTTGAAGGGAGGTAGGTAACAAACGAATGCTAATTGGTGCACTGTTACTTTTGGGGGCTGGATACTTTCCAAATTTTGTTGGTAGTGATGGTTGCAAACTCTGTTGAATATACTGAAAATCGCTGACATGTATACTCTACATGGATGAATTTGTTTGCTTTGTAAATTAAACTTCAATACAGCTGTTTAAAAACACTTGAGGTTATGTTTGGGACTGCATTTAAACCTTAAATAATTTATAAAGATGTAATTTTACAATATTGATTCTTTCAATCAATATCATGCTTTATCCCTCCATGATTAGGCTTTCTTTAATTTCTCTGTTTAAATTTTTTTTTATATTGAAGTCAAAGAAATATGATTCTTCTATAGTTGTGATTTTGTAAATGATATACTTATTTTAAAATTTCTTTAGTAACCTTTGCTGCTTTAAACATAATTGTAGTTGAGGTTTGCTATTGACTTTTGTATTAATCCTATCATTTCAAAAATACATTCTTCTGCATAGTATATATAGACAGTTACTTTATTTCTTTTTCCCTGGTTCAATTTTTTTCTTTTCTTGACTTATATTCACAGGCTGAAGTTTTATTTCCAATGTTGAATAGTAAGGACAGTTAAAGTGTTGTATGTGTATTCTATTTTCGGGGAACACATTTAAATATTTCATCCTTAAGTATGAGATTTGTTTTAAAGTTTTTTCATCAGAACTTTCTCATATAAAAGCAATTCAATAATATTGCTATTCTTCTGATATATTTTATAATGATATTACATTTTTATTATTTTTGTGTCAGTTGAAATGATAAATGTTTTCTCTGTATAATGTTTATGAAGTAAACTACCTTTATCTCTTTTAACTGTTAAATAAATCTTGCATTTCTGAAACAAAACCACAATGGCTAGTTTGTATTGTCCTTCTTCAAAATTCAGTGTATATATTACACTTATATTAAGCTGTTTTTCTTTGATCCAGGTTCGTAAAGAGTTTAGAATGAATCTTTATTTGTTATGGACTTGACGGGTTTTTATATCAAGGCTATATGAAAAGCATTCCTTTTTTCTATTTCCTGGAAGCCTCTGTATAAGAGTTCTGTTATATTTTTAATGTTATTTTTCATTACTGATGCTGGAACCAAAAATGGGGGTGTTTTGAGTCCCATTTCTTGTCTCACAAAAATCGAAGTATGAAGTTGCTGACAAAAAGGATTAATGGAACCAAACTGTATTGGAAGAAGCCAGTCCTGGAAAAGGTGCAACCACGGTTCCAGGAGGAGGCCCATGTCCAGAGCTTCCTCTCCATGTTACAGTCGAGAGTAGTTTAGTATCCAAGCTAATGAAGCTCTATTAGTCCTTGTGTGGAGGTCCATTATAATATTTAAAAAACCAGGGCCTGTCATGACCTAAATGTCCAGACCGACAACCGAACAGCAGGCTGCCAGCGGGAGGGAGTTTCCTCCTGGCCCTGGCCTGGGTGCAGCAGCAGGGGGAGGGAGCTCTGGGCTCCAGCCAGGGCTTGGCAGAACTCTTGGTCTCACATGATTGGGGGCATTGCCTGCCTTCAAACCAGACCCTGACATGAGGGGGGAGGGAGCCCCATTTCTCACAGAATCAGCCATTGCACAGTTTGCTGTCAGTGGCCTGCCCTCCAGGAATCCCATCCCCCTGCACCCCGGACCCTGATCTGACACTGGCTTCCCATTTAAATTAATTGGAAGACAGTTTCCATGATGCCAGCATTTGCAATGACTATTAATAAATCACAAGGACAAACTCTAGACAGAGTAGGAATATTCCTACCTGAACCCGTTTTCACACGTGGTCAGTTATATGTTGCTTTCTCTCAAGTTCGAAGAGTGTGTGATGTTAAAGTTGTAAATACTTCATCACAAGGGAAATTAGTCAAGCACTCTGAAAGAGTTTTCACTCTTAATGTGGTGTACAGGGAGATATTACAATAAGTTTAAACAATTTATTAGTCATTGTATCAGTGTTGTTTTTACATCATGTTTTTTTGTTTTTATGTCATGTCTTTGTTGTTGTTTTAGCATGTGTGATTATTTATTAATAAACTTATATATTATTTTCATATGAATTTTACTAATTTTCTTTCATCTCTGACAATTCTATTATAGAGAAAGGGTAAATAGCAATATTAAAATATTTCCTCTAATTAATTCCCTTTTAATGTGCATGAATTTCGTGCACCAGGACACTAATATGGCCATAAGCCACGTGGTCATAGGGGATGTGTTCCCCAGCAACAGGAATGTCAGGTGTCCATTGTGCCCTAAGCTGAGGGCAAAGGGAAGGGAGCCTGCACTTTTATTATTTTTATATATGTTTGCCTCACTGCCTTTTGATTAGGTATCTGCATGCTGTCTGTCTTAGCAATATCCATCCATTTTAAAGTTCATGCCTCTGGCTCGCACCCTTCCTTCCCACTCCAGTTGGGGTGTCTTAGTAACTCCGCCTAGCTGGGTTTCTGGTTTCACTTCCTCCTCCCACAGTCCTGCCCCTATCTACCTAACTTTTTCTGTCTCAATGCCAGTGGAGCTTGAAGGATGCTTTTGTAGGAAAGTTCATAAAATGAACTCAATTCTTATACTACATGCTAGATATTCTGAGGTTTCCATTTGTTGCACTGCATTTTCATACTTTTTAAATGTAATGTAGATATTAAAATGTACTTGTAATGTGGCTTTATCATCTACTTAGTATCTGTGAATAGGATAAGGCTGTTCCCCTGTTTACTCTCTGAATGAAAATTAGGGTTTTGTTAGTTTTTTTCCAAATCTTGTCAATTTTATAATTTTCAATGGGAATAACTTTGACCTTGTTGATTCTCTCTACTCTGTTTCTTCTTTTTCTTGATTTT